GGCTTAGGACTTATAGGGTTTATAGGGGTTTAGGGTTTAGGGTTTAGGGTTTAGGGTTTAGGGTTTATAGTGCTTATATATGGTTTAGGGCTTATAGGGCTTATACGGTTTATGGGGCTTAGTTTAGGTTTTAGAAGGTTTACAATGTTTATAGGGTTTATAGGTTTAGGGTTTAGTTTAGGGTCTATAGGGCCTATAGACGTTGTAGGGTTTAGGGTACTTGGGCTTCGGCTCAGCTCTTGGAACGATAGATCCGAAACTCTAACCATCTCACTCTCTCTCTCTCACTCTCTCTCTCTCGCGTATATGTACGGTTACTACGTCCTTTGACGTTCCATGAAGCCTTGATCTTGATGCTCGGCTTGCTGAGATGTTGGATCAGAGACGTGGGCACGGCTTCTGGGTTCAGGGTTTCGCACTTGCGTGTTTAGGGTTTAGAGCTGCAGGGCTGGGGCTTTCGGGCTTGGGGTTTAGGCTTGGGGTTTGGGCCTTTCTGTGGTTTCGGGTGTCGGGTTTGGGTTGGTTCGGGCTTTAGGTCTGGGGTCGAGGTTTTATTAACTCAGGGCGGTCCAGAGTTTAGGGTTTAGGGTGTTAGGTTTTACCTCTAGTCTCCATTGTAGTTCCTTTTTTTGGTTTAACCAAGTCTATACTAAGGATCCTATAAGGTAACCCCAAAAAGGAACTACGGAGACTATAGGTAGGGTGTTACTGTCGGCCAGGCCAGCGCCAGGAATCTGCCATGCACAGCTTCTTCCTGCAGTGTACCCGGCAAAAGGCTGCTGCACTTCGGGAGGCTGGTCCCCGACCCTAAAGAACTAAACCCGAAAGTTGATTGAGGTTGGTTATAAGTATTGTAACAGCTTAGCCGGAACCCTGTTCTGGATTTTGGCATCAATCATATTCCGGCGATGTTGATGATGACGGCGATGTGTCTACTGCTGTCCCAGAATTGTGGGCAGATGGCTTAGGAACGCAGGCCCAACCCAAACCCGACTTCAGGGAGGCGTAGCCGTGTAACGCCACATGCTTGAGCCTTTTCCCAAATCGCAGCCCCTCCATCCCTTAACCCGAAACCTTAAACCCTAAGCAAGTGGGATAGTGTAGGCCCGATAAAGGGCAGGCGTCGCTTGGACAAAGGGGTGCCATAGCCTTTGAAAAGACAAAAGCTACATCCACCCCGCCCTTCCCTCCCAAACCGCAATGAACAACAGGCGAGTAGTGATCTTCCCTTGTGTTCATTGTGCTATAAAGCACCCCCCCCCCCCAAAAAA